TGCCACTGAGCTATATCCCCAGCCCACAGGAGTGGGATGGGCAAACAGAAGAAGAATCAAGATATATTACATACAGGTAAAAATGCCTTAAGAGGAATGTGATCAATATGTATGACAAATGTGTACTAACAAAAAGTATAAATTTAAAAAATCAAAAAAGTCATTAACAATAATTATGCTGTGAAATATCTTTTAAAAAGAAATATAGCTACTCTGCCTTTGAGATTAATCCTACTACTTGAAACTTCTGTCAAGAGAATTTTGTCCGTTTATTTTATTAGTTATTTTGGTAGACGTTACAGTATTCAACTCTGATTCTGGACTTTCATATTTCCCCAGCCAGTGCTCAGGTTTTCTCGTCTACACTCTTTTTGGGAGTGGGGGTTGCTGGGAATCAGACTCAGGAGCTCGTGCTTGTCAGGCAGGTGCGGTACCGCTGAGCTGTATCCCCAGCCCTTGCTGTCTACACTTTGATGCCATTGTTACATGCACTCAAATACAGGATTGCATTATCTTCCTAATACAGTGACCCTCGAGGTTATGAACAGACTATTTCTAGTAGTGCGTCTTTGTTAAAGTTTGCAGTACATGAAATTAGTGTAGCCGAAGCGATTCTGGCTCATCCCTGTCGTACTTGTTGTGCACTGTGTTTTCCACGCTTATACTCTAGCCGCTTGCTGTGTACGTGCCGGTCCGCTGCTCACTACTGAAGTGAGATAACCGAGGCGGGCTGACCTAGAAGGTGGTGGCTCGGTTCTGTGCAGGACTCCACGACGGCTGCTGTCACAGGCAAGGCGGGGAGAGGGAGGAGGAGACAACACGAGCAGCAGGAGGCCCGAGAGCCTTTCAGGGGCGAGGATCACCCTGGGGCCAAGTCACCGTGCCGCGAGCTCAGCGACACCAGGGCCCACGTTCCTGGGCTGAGGGGCTGCCCAGCGGGGTGGATCGCACAGCCCACCCCTCACCCCGGGGCCCTCAGGGACCCTGCCAGCCTGCTGAGGTAAAGAGACTCCTTCCCAAGAGCAAGGCCGTCACTGCCAGGTCTGGCTAGGACCCACGTGGGCAGCCCATGCTGGGTGCTTGGTTCTCAGCTTTACCTGAGGCCCTCTCCAGCA